AAATAGAGTGAGCATGCAGATAGTCAGTCTTCCTGATTGAACTTGCGCTAAGCTTCATTTAACACAATACCCACAATGCTACCTAACATCCACTATTAGTTTGAACTTCATTATTCTGTGATTTGATCTAAATTGTAACACTCTATCATCTCTTCAGATGATACACATTCTGCTCTTCGCTCACCATGAGGTGTGTGCGTATGAAGAGGCAAAGCGCAGCTCAGGTATACAAATAAGAACCGTAGCTGTGGCGTCATAATGAGGTTATTAGGAGCTGGTTCAACTGTAGTAGGACAGCGCTGAAGGCCCAGGTATACAATGCACGGCCCGCCACTGACTAAAAGGCACGTTCAACTGGCCCAGCTGTGTCAACGAAACACAGCGAAGCTCTGATTACAACACACAGAGGGAAAGTGACTTCATTCTCTTCTCAGGTAGACGTTACTCCACTGTATCTTTACATAGCAAATAGATGTTTGCTGCTCTGAATGTCGAATTTAGCACCATTAGACTTAAGTAGTTTTGCTTCCATCACTCACTACAACTTGCTCCTCTGTTTCTATTGTATTGTAGTTGGACAGGCGGCTGTGGCTCAAGGGGTAGAGCAGGTCTTCCATTAATCAAAACGATGGCGGTTCGATCGCCGACTCTGCTCCGCGGGCGTTTTACAGCAGCCCACTGCTCCTGATGCTAAAGACGGGTAAAAAGCAGAGGTTGAATTTCATGTATGTCTGAGATGATAAAAGTAAAGCTTAGATTAAGTTATGTCAGATCTTCTTCAACATGTTGTGACATGGAAACATGTCACAACATGTTGATAGGCACTGATAAGAAAAACAATAAGGAAATGAATTACAGCAATGTCTAGACAAAAAGGCCAATAAGGAAAGGGACTGCTACATGACAGCTTTGTGACAAAACTGAATCATGACATACCTTTTAAAACGCACAACAAACACCAGCTGCAGTGCTGAAATAAGAACTTACCCTAGACTTCATGAACATATTGTGATCCGTGGCGACCCATCTGTCTGTATCCCAGTCCACCGTGGCAGCTGTCATTTACGATAAAGGTCAAAAGCCCTATTGGTCAACGGAGCGCCGGGGAAAGTCTGCGGTCTGAGGTCAGCGAGAAACTGTGGGCCACATCAATCCAAATTCATGAGACTCAGGGTGACACGGGACGTCTGCGAGGTGCACTTCTCTGTTTGAGAGGTGGGGATCAATAACAGGTCAAGCAGAGGGAAAGGTCAAAATATCAATGCAAAACACAGAGAGTGGAAATAGCTCTGGCAAATCACAATAAAAAAAGATGGAAGAAAAGGAGAAAATATAAAACACACAAATGGTTAACACACCAGAAATTTGTCCAACTTACAACTTCTTGGTTATTATTATGTAAGAGCGTATCTTAACATTTATTTAGTTAAGTCTATTATGTTTCATTTTGAAGTTCTCTGCTTTATTTGTTTGACTTCTTGTCTTTGTCGTTGTCCCTCCTTTTTTTCTTTCTCCTGTGTTGCATTAGTCTCGTCAGCCTTCCTCTGTTTCCTTTCATCCACCAATCAGCTTTCAGCCTGCCCTCATGTCTGCCCACCTGCGTATTGTTGTCTGATTAGTATTTATTATCTTGACTTTTCTCTGCTGGTTGTCGGTTCATCTTCATTTGTTGCTGTTTGGAGCTCACTGATTTGCGTCTTCTGGACTCTTATTCCTGTAGCCTCTTCATGAAAATAAAGTGTGACTATGGAGCCAAATCCAGGCCAAATAGTCTTGATCATTTAAAGAAAAAATGAAACCTGAAAGTTCAAGTTGTGGTCTTGAACATTGAAAAATACAGCAATGTATTCAAAATAAAAATAAGTGAATGAAAAGTTTTTTCAATAGAACCAAAGGTTCTGGCACCAATGCAGAATTAGAATGCTCTCATGATGATGTACATTACCCCTCCTTCCTTCCTTGGTTTAGGTGTAAGGGTACCAGAAGTCTGCAGCCACCTCAGTGATGACCCTTCACCAGAGCTAGCTTCCTTTGCAATTATCACTGCGCTCTATGGAGTCAGATCAGTCTCACTATTAATATATGCACACAGAAGGATTCACAAATATATTTTGTGATGTGAGATTAAAAAGATATGTAAAAAAATCCCCATACAAAATAATAAGACCAATTTCTAATGCACACACACATATTTCTTGTTTAAAATGAATGTAATATTAATCCACAAATATTCGCCTCTATTGCATCAACACTGACAATGCTAAGTATTCACTGAAGAGGCCTTGTCCTCGTCTCCACGCGTCGACACCAGAGAGCGAGCTGCTCCTGAAGAATCCCATTGTCATGCCTCAGCGGCCCCTTTACCGCCTTTATGTATCTGTTTGCTACCCTGAGGCGACAGGAATTGTCAGTGCTTAAACACAGAGGAAGAGAGGAGTCCTCGCTGTCTCAGATCTCCTCGCTCTCACCCCATCTCTGTCTCTCTGCATGCGGTTACTGCCACTGTTTGTTTAAATCATCAGAGGCGAGCTTGTCCTCTGTGAAGTATTAAACGGCACACTTCTTGCCCTCGACTTGTGGTGCTGCTATAAGTCCGCAGGTCTGACAGTTTCTTCATTCTGCTTGAGAGCACATGGCCACACTCTATCCATCCATACACACCCAATCCACAGCTGCATCTATGCCGCACAGATGTGACGGAGCTGCCTACACTGCTGACTGTGAAAGGCATGTATCCGTCTGTTTTTGAGGACCTCAGTTGTGTGTTGTCTTTGTGATGCTTAATCTTGATGATGTCATAGTGATGTCATCAGGGTTATATCAGATTAGGTTTGAAAGTTACAGGTTTAACAGCAAGCCTGTGTTACGAACCGAAAGAGTGGAATCTGAAGGATGTGGGCGTTTGGTTGCATCATGGGAAATGTAGGATCCAGTGTTTATGGGACAAGCGACTTACAATCGGTGTGGCTGCTTTCATTTTGACCACTTATTTAGTTCGGTAAAAATAAAAAGCAGCTTGGCCGTTTTAAACTGTTGAGTTAACTGAACTAGCACTGAAATGATTAATTTCCAGTGTAAACTGAGTCGATTTAACCAAACTTTATAAAATACATACATTTAAGTTATTAAAGGACTGGGCCAATCATATATATTATTAGGTTTTTATATCATTCCGAAGGTTCCCAGTGATGTTCCTCATGTATTAAAGAGACATTTTGGTCAAAGTACAAAATGCTATCTTCCCAACACGTCTAAATCCCACAAGACCTGACCTGTAGGTTTCTGCATGTTGACGCTGCCACATAAACAGTAGACTATACTCGTATAGTCAGTATTACAGTAACTTAGATGGGGATTGGCACGCTTCAGTTTGGAGAAGCAGACCAATACGAGTAGCTAAGCAGTGTACTGCTGTGGCCGCAACGCTAGTTTGAATCCAAAAATCCCACAATAAATCAAAGTAACCGATCGATGCAGCAGTAGACCAACAACTCCTCTGTTGTGCTAGGTAAGATTATTGTTGTTGTCAACGGAGTCTCATGTCTTTCAAAAAAACAGATAATGAAAGGGCTGTCTGACGGCAAGCTAGAGGCTACAAGGTTCATTTAATGTCATTGTGCTAAAGCCTACAAGCTTTTTCCGAACGGCTGAGCGGGCATTTCCATTTTCAAAACACAGAAAAGAATGAATGAGAGAGCATATGGATATTAACCTGAGCTGGATTACACCTATTAATGAAATTAAGTTCAATAATGGCCTTATTTTATGAAATTTTACACCAACAATCTGGAAGACAATTTAAGCATATTTGCAATACTTCTACTAAAACTTCCACTCTGGGTGTAGCTTTGATGATGAAATCCTCACTGACAGCTCCGTCATGCAGCATACCTGCTAATACAGGAGGAGAAAGGCCACGTGTGTCATGCTCAGAGGTGCACTGCCACCGGTTGCAGGTGGAGTGGTAATGCTGCTGAACATTAGATTTGGCTGGGCCCAGGCGGCAGTGACATCCCCTCATCAGTCTTATGAAAGTCGCCCGGTGGATCTGGGCCGAGCCTCTGACTGAAGCTGATACTTCAGAGGCGAGGAGGATACCCCCGACCGCTGAGGGTTGTGATGTGGGGAGAGGGAATAAACGACGATTTCAAAGGGGGGGGGGGGGGCTGCCTTCTGTGCAGCTCTCATCCTCAGGTCTGTATTCACTGACATGATAAGGATTGATGATTTTTTTCATGTTGATTTGAAATGACCTCGATATCATATGAAATCCTATTTCAACTTTAGCATCCATTACCAGCCTTTTTATCATTATCAAAATGTAACTGCAGGCTGTTGAAGGGATATATCGCCTGTGGGTTATGAATTTATCTTTCTTGAGATCAAATAAAACGTGTATGTGAATTGCATAAAGAAGCCTATAGACTCACACAGACTCACAGGAGGGAGTGCAAGGACAGTGTCATTGAAGTCCGCAAGAGGAAATGACTTGTGTTTGGGGTGTCAGACTCCAGCTGTAAAACATGCTTCAACACAATAGATTTCCTGTCTGCTCCATATCTGTGATTAGTGTTAAGAGGACTTTTTACCCAACACTAAATTCTCTTGTATTTTACTGAACAAAGGCGGACTGATGGGTGATGAGGGGCCAGAATGCTTTTTCCCCCCCATGGGCCCCTTTGTCAACACTTTTTACACTGCTCATCTTCATTGTCCTTGTTCCATTATAGGCTTTTAAATAGGCTTATTCACCAATGTGTTCGCTTGTCTTTACTTCACAGTAAAGTAAAGAATCCCTCATGTCTCTGTGGTGTTGCTCTCAGGGACCCTTTGGAGCCACAGAAGCAGCCCCATGCTCCATGCCAGAGCTGCCACAACACAGCGGCTGGTTAAGGGTGATTGAGAGAATGCAGCAATCTATTGGCTGCAGGCTTAGTAAATTTCAGGCGGTGTAGTCCAATGGCAAGCAAGGGAGAGGGAGAGAGAGGGAGAGAGAGAGAGAGGGAGAGAGAGAGACCTGGTTTCTCTAACACTAATCTTGTCCTCGCAATACACTCGCTCTATGAGCGCAATTAGATTCAGCACCGTTTCCAGAGCCTCTGCAATGACTCATTGAAACGTCTTCTGTGCCGCTAAAGCCGCATCTCTTTTCTCCCGCGCCACGCGCACACACAGGACGTACAGCCGGGCTGCCTGTCAGCACAATCGGGACTGCGCTTCTTACTTTGGATTTTGCAGGAGGCTGGAGGTGGACTTCATTGTGTTTTTCCCCTCTATGTGGCGTGTGTTCCGCCTGAAGTCGGGACTTACATAAAAGAGTGAGACGTCTGAGGTAAGTGTTCCGCCGGCTGGACGCGATCTGAGCCTTAACACGTTTACTCCAGCAGGAAAACAGACACAAATTTATACGAGCGGCTGAATTTCTGTGCGTTTTTTTTTAGGCGCTGACCCCCCCTTCCCCTCCTCCCCCCCCACTTCTCCTCTTCCTCCTCTCACGGCTTGTCCGGACGCGCTTTATTCTCACAAAGGCGCATAAATCCACAGGGAATTCATCAACAGACATTTACTGACAACATCAACCGGATGATAGTCATTTTGACAATCACAACTTCTTAGAAAAATATTAGAAAAACGGTCATAATGAGGGTGTTTGATGAGAACACCTCCGCAGCAGCACAGGCGGATTCTTGCGCACTTTCATCCGACTCCAGTTGGTGATTTGTTCATTTGTAAATGTGGATGAAAGAATGACAGGTTGCAACCAGCCAGCAGTGCAGACGCTGATCACACACCAGGCTTTTTATTAATTATGTAAATCAGTGTTGTCCCTGTGCGCGCGCGCACACACACACGCGCACGCACACTGCTTTGACCAAACTCGGTGCCAAAGCAACAGCTCGGTTAACTTTAATGCCAGCGGACGGACACGAGAGGCCGTTGTGAACTGGTGGCACAAAGTGCTTTCCCTCAACATAACGAAGCATTTCAACCCATTTCACACCTGCGTTTTTATTTTATTTTATTTTTTACCACAAGTCATGTGTGTGCGTGTGGACGAGCCGCAGCAGAGACGGGCACCTGCCAGCAGCTCTCTGCGCGCATCGCTATCCGAGCAGCCACAAGATGGTGGTGTAGATATCTGGATGTGGATTTTGAGGGAAAAGGGGAAAAAAGGGGGGTCTGTGTGTGTGTGTGTGGGGGGGGGTTGTGCCTTGCATTTTCTTTTTTTTTATAGAGATACAGCGCTGCTAATGCTGTGATTTTGTTTGTGCTTGTATTCATTCTGGGTGACACTCAGTGCAAAATAGGTGCATCGTGAACTGTGGCTTCAAACAGGCTGCTGGTTTAACATGGGGTGACCTTGTGTGTTATACCTGTGTTATACCTGCCCACAGATGACATGCCAATGTCCACAGTGGCTGTTAGGCCCATGTGGACCAAATGCATTAAGTCTTTCACTAGAAAATACAAGGTTGGACAATATATTTGCAGTAATGCTGCTGCTGTATTTGTGTGTGTGTGTGTGTGTGTGTGTGTGTGTGTGTGTGTGTATGTGTGAGTGTATGTTTCCTGGGGAAAAAGTAGGTGTGACATATTTTGCATTTTAAACCTGCTCAGGTCTGCACTGCTATTGCATGAGGGGTAATAACTGGTAACACATTGATCTCTGATTAAATATATAGTCGTATTTTTCTCCAGTGCAGCTCAGCGTTGGCTCATTCTGGTGTAAAGAAAAGGTTGCCTTCCTTCGCCATCTTTAGCAGAGAGGGGGAAAATGGCCGGGCAGGTGTGAGATTCACACCAGAGAGACTGTTTGAAGATTATGGTAATTCTCACCGAGTTGTTGTCTGACATCGACTGAGAGAGCTGGACATGCCTAACTTCCAGGAATCTGCATGTTCATAAAAACAAACATTTGGTCGTGTACTACAGCCCCACGTCCAATCAAACAGCCTTCCTCGTTCAATCATTTCATTCTTTGGCTTTTGTTTTCAACAAACTGCACAGTTCATCCAGGATGAAATGTCATTTTAAATGAAAGTCAAAGATGTACAGCATCCCTCCCTAATCCACTCCTCCTGCCTGTTCCAAATAGCATCCAGGATTCCTGGAACATGTCATGGTACAAATGCAGGAAATTGGTTTTATTGTTTTGTCGGAGAACAATCTTAAATGAGATCCTTTAAAATATGCATGGTTTTGCCTTAAACCTTTTTTTCATTTTTAATTCCACTGACTCCTCCCTGTTGCCTCTTTTTAAATGCACGAAAGGGAAGTCATTTACAGTAAAAATGACAAACTGGAGCTAAATGTGCCCAAAAAGTTTTATGGCATAGCAAAAATAAATAAATTGGAATTTTGCTCTCTGTGCCTTGCATCTGCTTCCATATTCTTGTCATTTCCCCTGCAGTCCTTCCATCATGGTGCATCCACATATTCATCTGACAGTGATGACATGCAGATGCTGAGCAGGCAGTTGTTTGCTGATCTGTCCAAACCATATACACACAAACATAAGACTGACAGGTAGAAACAGCAAGAGTAACATGGTGTTGGCCTTGCTGGGCCATCTACTGTAGATATATTTTATGTTATGTAAGCAGACGAGCTCTTAAGGAGGGATTACTGCACTGTAAGATGTCCTGCATCCCACACACATTCCTCTGTATTGTGTACAGTATGCTGCACGGAATCTGACAGATCTGTTAATGGGTTTCATTTTTAACCATATTTGGAAGAGTGAAGACATTTTACCTAAAGAAAATATTTCAACATCATTTCTTTTACTAAATGAGTTGCATTGGTAAGGCATAGGCAGCATGAACTTTTACTCCAGACCTGTTCATTTCACTTTTTAAGACGTTTATGTTTACTATTTACTGTATGTCAATGATGTGCCGACTCGTGAGGGGTCGGGACATAAAATGGAAAAGTGCACATCTTCTGGGAGGACAAATTAAGGAAACCGCTTCTAGCTAAAGATTATTGGGAGCCTGTGATTATCACACGCTGGCTCCTGTGGTCAATTCTCTGTTTCGGTACACTCGGCGCTTCTTGAGTGCACCTCTGGTGTGACATCAGGGCAAACATGAAGCATGGAAGTGTCCCATTAACAGTGCATGCACACCATTTACATACTTAGCTTCCAGGTATTCACGGTGCCACTACACTGCCACGTGACAAGGTTGTTCATTTCTCGAGGGACGTGTTTGCATGCAACTTGTTTTCTTCTTAAAGTGATGGTAGCTTATGAAAGATGTTTTGGAATTTTGTTCTGTCAACAAACTGCTACAATTGGCCTGAAAAACATGAACTGCTTCGAGCAACAACTAGAGTAGCTGTGAGGGACATTGATGGCATAAATATGTACAAGCCATCCTCACTGGAAAAAAAACAGCGTAAAGGTCTTCTGTGCAAAAAGCTAATTGCGATCCACATTTAGGTCTGTTGTTAGGTTTGCGAGGGTGGAGGTCGGGGTGGATTGTTGGGTCAAACAAACAGGACTTTCACCCAGGAGACCGCTGTCCATGTCCCATGTGAAAGTAAGCACGTTGACCTATTTTAAATTACAGTTATTTTGATTTTAGAACGTAACCACGTCACAAACTTCATCATGTACACACTGTAACTAGGTCCGTTTCACAACGTTAACCACATGTTTGAAACTGTGACCATCTCTCAACGATAAATAGAACGGTCCTATCAAACGGCATCCTGCTCTCATAAGAGTATGAAGAAACTGAGTAAAGAAAGTTTTTTAGAGCACAGTGTGATGGATCTTTCAAACAATGAAGGAATAGCTGCACACACACATTTTCAGATGGTCAGTTTTCAAAGACATGGTGTTGCACTCGGTTGTTGACATGAAGAGTGATGGAAACTGAAATCACTGAGCCCAAAATTCAGACATGCACAGCATGCATCTTAAACAGCAGCAGGATTTACCCTGAAAGCCTCGGCTTTACTTTCCGCAATGACGGTCGTAAGGACATGAGTTGATGCGGAAACGTTTGGATCTTTTGTACGTCCTGTGGGTTTCTCCTTGCAGCAAAACAACGTTCACAAAGCTCCCCAACGTTCTCAATTTTCTCCGCCAATCGCGTTTTGCGTAGTTAGAAAATGTTTGAGATGCACGCATAGGTGAAAACCTGCCACACAGAAATGGCTGTTTTTGATGGTGTGACATCATTTTGGCTGTGCGGACACTCGCAAGCTTAAATCACGCTAAATACAGGAATGTATTCTCTAGGTGCCATGCCGTTGTTTCCGACTGCCAGTTGTACCAAAACCCCAATAGTCTGAAAAAGGTTCAAGTGAACCGAAAAGCCCGTTGAAAATACTCACTCTCGCTACAACGAAAAGAAGCATATGACGTTATTGGACCTTCCCGGTCACAATATTTTTCTTCCTGAGTAAGGCATGACCTGCCATACTGATTGGCTTAACCTGATATTCTTACCTTAACCAGTGTCACTCCTCATGCCTAAACCCAACCAACCCAACCAATGAAGGCAGGAAGTAAATGGGACATTTTTGGGATTATTCGAGTTTCCGAATAATTGGCATTCCCAGTTTTATACACATTTAGTGTTAGTCCATACCATAGCTCAACAATCTGCAAAGATTATATATGAAGAACACATCATATATGTATAATATATATATTATGTATACGTGGTAATCAGCTGCTGTGGTTCTGTGTGTGTGGGACATTTTGCCTCTGACAGGATATTTTTATAATGATTGAAATGCAAATGACAGAGTGCACCTTCATTGGTATTCACGGTACTTATCTCCTATAATCATTAAGAGTGAGAACAATGTTCACAATCTGCCAAGGAGAGCCACGGAGCACGCTCTGCATTCAGCCTGAGCCGCCTGAAGAACAGTTTATCATGAAACAGCACATTGTTACAAACACTACACTGTGTCACTTTGTCACACAAACATTTTCAAGCGTATAACCTCAGTGAACAATGAGCAACACATGAACCTGTGCAGACCCCTTTTAGTGTTTGACGATGTCTGTGCTGTCATGTGAGGCGACTGCAAACACTGATATCCTTAATATAGCGGTTCATTTCATCGTTACATAAGCACTCTCGTGGGCAAAAAGCCAATGATGAACAGCCTGTGGTTGTACTCAAAACAATGATGTGCTAGAGGCAGTTCATCTCCTGATATCTTTAATAAGCAGTAATATTAGGATAATTGAAAATATAGTTTCATTTCCATACAATCACAACAAAGTGAGCTATTTAACGAATCAATAAGCACATACCGTGTGTTTTTGTTAACATGCTTATGTTTTTACATATGGTATAATAATAT